ATGTACAGTTTCCTGAATGCACCATGAATATAATGCAGCCACTCTTTGCATTGGTTTTGTTGTCTAAAATATGGGCATAATTGCCTCCCATTACCTATTCTCCTCTTTCATAATTATGGAACCCCCAGTTTTTAGGTAGAGATGTGATGCCCAGTGTAAACACTGTGTTTCCTCGAGTGTTTTGCACCCAGTTGTAGTTATGCCTATGTTGGGGAATAGGATGTATGTAGGAGCTTCTAAGACCCTACCTACAATAGCTGTTGTTGAGCATCCTTTGCCCCTGCTCTATAGTCTGGAATATGGGAAATAAAACCAATAGTATGGGTGAATAGATCGACAGATGAGGGATAGATGAGAGGGGATATGTCAGTGGCACTGACTCACGTTATTGTGGAGGCTGGGAATAGAAAACCCAGTAGCATGATTTGCTTCAAGTCTGAGAGCTGAGAATCAAGGGAGTCAAAGTGTAACTCTCAGTCCCAGGCCAAAGCCTGAGAGGCTGGAGGAATGCTGGAGCAAGCCTGGAGTCCAAAGGCCAGACAGCCTGCAGTTCTGATGTGCAAGGGCAGGAAAGGATGGGTGTCCCAGCTCCAGGCAGAGGGCAAGTAGTAGAGAGGGGCAGAGAGGGAGAGGGAGATGATCGGATAGTTTCTGCCCATTGTGGTTGCAGGCAGGTCTTCCTTATTCAGTCCACTGAATGAAATGCCAGAATGTCAGTCTGCCCTGGAAACACTCATAGACATCTCAAGAAGCAATGCTTCACCAGGTATCCAGATATCCTTAATCCAGTCATGCTGGCACTAAACCATCAAACTTGACAAACTCCTATTTATCCTTCAAGAACCAGATCAGTCATTTCCTTCTCTGTGAAACATTTTCTGATTCCCACCTGGGGATTTAATCCCTCCTTTGCTTTATACTGGTTCTTATTCTTGTGCATATTTTATAGCATATCCCACATTTTTATTTATACAGTTGTCTTGCTACTAAATTACTCTGTCATTTAAAAAATGTGGAGTTCAGGGCCAGGGATTTAGCTCAGTGGTTCTGCCGCCTGCCTGCCTCAAAAGCACAAGGTCCCGAGTTCGATCTCCAGTACCAAAAAAAAAAAAAGTGGAATTCTTTTTCAATAAATATAAAAATATTTTAGTTTATGTGGATTTTGATACTGCCCTCAAACCTATTACAGTATGCAATATACCAGCCCTACTTGCCTGTATTACTCAGCTTTCCAGTTACTGGGACAAAATACCTGACACCTGCAATCTAAAGGAAGGGAGGTTCATTTTTGCTCACTGTTTCAGAGGGTTTAGTCCATGGTCAGCTGACTCCAAGGCAGAAATAGCATGGTGAAAGGGCTTGGTGGAGGAAAACTGCTCAATTCATGGTGGTCAGGAAGCAGCAAGAGGAAAGGGAGGGGCCAGGGCCAAAAACACAGCCTTCTACTTCATGCTCCCAGACACCTACCCCCTCCAACCAGGCCCTACCTCCAAATTCAAGAATGGGGGATGGGGGCTTGGGATTTAGCTCAGTGGTTTCTCTGACTGCTGTGCAAGCGCAAGGACCTGAGTTCGATCCCTGGTACCAAAAAAAAAAAAAAAAAAGAATGGGGGATGGGGGGCAGGAATGTAGCTCAGCACCACAGCGCCTGCCTGGCAAGCAAGAGGCCTGAGTTTGATCCCTGGTACCGAAAAAGAAGGAGGAGGAGGAGGAGGAGGAGGAGGAGGTGGAGGAGGAGAATTTGAGGGCTGATTTTAGGTCTAAACTATAACATATCCAAAGATTCTTTGGGGAAGGGGACTCTGGGGATGGAACCAAGGACCTTTGCACTTAACTAGATCCTCAGTCCTTTTTTTTTTTTTGGTACCAGGAATCGAACTCGGGACCTTGAGCTTGCAAGGCAGGTGCTAGAACCACTGAGCTAAATCCTCAGCCCCATTCCTTTTTATTTTTTATTTTGAGGCAAGAACTCACTGAATTGCAAAGTTGCTTAGGGAAGGCTCAAACTTGCAATCCTTATCCAGGCATGGTGGATGCATACCACTAATCCGGGCACTCTGGAGTCTGATGCAGGAGGTTCACAAGTTCAAGCCTAGCCTGGGCAACTTAATGAGACCTTGTCTAAAAATTTAAAAATAAAAAAAGAGGCTGGAGATGTAGCTCCGTGTGAAGGCCCTGGGTTCAATCCCTAGTACCACAAAATGAATAAATAAGCAAAAACTTGCATTCCTCTTGCCTCAGCCTCCTAGAGTGTGGGGATCTCAGGTATGTGCCACCATGTCCAGGTCCTATCCAAAGGTTCTGGTGCATAGCATAGGGTAGGCATATTACTTCTCCCTTCTCCTGATCCATTTAGTTCATCAGTTGAGATAAATATTACTATGGTCTGGATATTGCTTAAGTGTGGTCCTCAAAGATTCCTGTGCTGAAAACTTGATCCCAACATGGTTATGTTGAGGCTGCTTCATACAGTTTGGCTCTGGGATGTCCTCTGAAGGCCCATGTGTTAGAAGGCTTGGTTCTGAGCTCACTATTCCTGGGAGGTTCTGGAAACCTTTAAGAGTGAGGCCTAGCTCACTAGGGGTGTGCCCTTGAAAGAGACTATGGGACACTCTATGTCTCTCTCTCTCTCCTTCTCTGTCCATTCCACCATCAGGTGAGCAGCTTGCTCCACTGTGTCCTCCCTGCCATGCACTGCCTTGTCATGGGCCCAGAAAGCACCAGGGCCAACTGACCAAAGACCAAATGTCTAACACCATGATCCAAAATAAACTTTTTCTTGAAAGAGGAGACAGAAGAGGATATCAGAAAATGGGATGATGTCCCCTGCTCCTGGATAGGCCAAACCAATATTGTCAAAATGGCCATACTTCCAAAACTGTTATGTAGATTAATGTGATCCCAATCAAAGTACTATACCTATAGCAGTCCTCACACATTTAGAGAAAACAGTCCTAAAATTCATATGGGACCAGAAGAGACCCAGAGTAGCAAAGCAATCCCAGCTACTAGAGCCATCACAATACCTGACTTCATGTTACACTACAAAGCTACAGTGATAAATACTTTATGGTACTGGCACGAAAAACAGACATGTGGGTTGGGGATTTAGCTCAGTGGTTCTGCCGCCTGCCTTGAAAGCGCAAGGTCCCGAGTTTGATCCCTGGTACCAAAAAAACCCACAAAAAAACCAGACATGTGGATCAATGGAACAGAATAGAGGATGCAGACACATCCTCAGACACATTCAGATCTTTGATCTTTTTTTTTTTTCCCCTCAGTACTGGGAATTGAACTCATGACCTTGCTCTTGCCAGGCAGGCACAGTGCCATTGAGCTAAATCTCCAGCCCAGATATTTGATCTTTGATGGGGGCCAAAAACAAATGTTGGAGGAAAGACAGCCTCTTTGGTAAATTGTGCAGGGAAAACTGGCTGTCCACATGCAGAAGATTGAAGCTGGACCCATATTTCTAATCATGTAAACTAAAATCAAAATGAATCAAAGATCTAAATATTAAAACAGAAACACTTAACCTACTGGAAAATAAAATAGAAAAAACTCTTGAAGTCATAGATGTAGGTGAGGACTTTCTGAACAGAACTCCAATTGCACAAGCGAGAATAACAGCAAGAATCAACAAATGAGATCATATCAAATTAAAAAGCTTCTGCACAGCAAAGGAAACAACCTACAGAATGGGAAAAAGCTTTTTGCCAGCTATTCCTCAGACAGATGACTAATATCTGGAATATATAAAGAACTCAAAAAGAGTAGACCACTCAAAATAAAAGATCAAATCAAAAATGAGCAAGTGAGGGCCGGGGATTTAGCTCAGTGGTACCACCACCTGGCTTGCAAGCAGAAGGTCCTGAGTTCGATCCCTGGTACCAAAAAAAAAAAGAGCAAGTGAAATTAATAGACACTTCTCAGAATTAGTACAGATGGCCAATAACACATGAAAAGATGTTCAACATCTCTGACCATTAGAGAAATACAAATTTCAGCACTGAGATTTCATCTTGCCAGAAAGAATAGTTAGTTGTATCAAGAAACCAAATAATAACAAATTCTGACAAGGCTGTGGGAAAAAGGAGCCCTTCTACATTGTTGGTAGGAATGTAAACTAGTACGGCCACTATGGAATTTAGAGTGGAGAGTCCACAAAAAACTAAAAATAGAAATTTTATTTGACTTAGCTATTGCCCTGCTAGGTATCTTCCCAAAAGAACAAAAGACATCACATTACAGAAATATATGCATACCTATATTTATAGCAGCACAATTCATAATAACTAAATCCTGGAAGCAACCTATATGTCTATCAACAGACAAATGGATAAAGAAAATGTGGTAATGGCCTGGGATTTAGCTCAGTGGTTCTGGCGCCTGCCTCACAAGCATGAGGTTCTGAGTTGGATCCCCGGTACCGAAAGAAAAAAGAAAATGTGGTGTTTATACATAATGGAATACTACTTGGCCATAAAGATGGATAAATTTAAGACAATATAGGGAGATGGATTCACCTGGAAAACGTAATGAATGTTAAATTACTTAAAGAATATATGGCTTCTCTCATTTGAGTAATGCAAAGTACAAATAAAGGGCAAAATAAAAGATTGATAAAAGGAATCAGGGAGATAGATCTTTTTGTAAATGGGAAGGGATCCAAGAGACTGAGGATGAGGGGATGTGGGAGAGGAAGAGGACATAAAAAGATTTAAGATGCACCATGTACAGGTACTAAATACTCACTATGAATGTAATCATGCGTGTGACAAACGTGAACAAAAAATAGGGAAAGGGATAGAGAGACAGAGGGAGGGGTTGAGTGGGGAAGGGAAGGGAAGTAGAAAGAATCAAGGTATGTTGTGTGCACGTATCCAGTCCCTAAGATGTATGTAAGCTTCACATATTGCATATATTTAGTGATACAAATATATTTAGTAATACAATAAAATTTGAAAAGCGAAATAATAGAAACCTTTTCTCTTTCCCAGGTACCTCTGGTACTGATTACAGAAACAGAAGGCCGACTGGAAGAAGCAGGCCTGTGGGTCCTGAGGGTGCGTGCGTGGACGAGATTCGTGTGGCTCCCCTGGACCCCCGGTAACTCCCTGAAGAGCAAGTGGTTATGAAGCAGTGCAGCTGGCCCCTGCGGGTCTGTGACTTCCTGCCTCGCCACATGTCTCTTCCTCACCCTCTCCTGCCACTGTGGCCCCATCCACCATGGAACCCTCGCTAGAATACAAATGAGAGGTGCTGCCCAACTTTGGACTTTCAGACTCCAAAACTTTTTCCCATACTAGGGCTTGAACCCAGGGCTTTCATACATTGAGCTATATCCCTAGGCTTTTTGTTTGTTTGTTTGTTTGTTTGTTTTGGTACCGGGGATCTAACTTGGGTCCTTGTGCTTTCAAGGCAGGAGGCAGGCGGTGGAACCACTGAGCTAAATTCCTCGCCCTGTGTGTTTGTTTTTAAGAGAGTCTTGCTACGCTGCTCAGCTGCCCAGACTGGGCTTGATCTTGTGATCCTCCTGCCTCAGCCTCCCAGAGTCTGCCACTGGGCAGATGAGACTGAACCGCTTTTCTTTATAAAATGGCAGCCTCAGGTATTTTGTTCTAAACCACAGATAATGTACTACAGATATCCATGTGGCTGGGGCACCGTGGTAGGTAAAGCTGGGTAAAGAGGTTTAGTCTCATCTCGGTCCTGAAAGTGCCTGCGATGTGCTAGGTGAGGTGATCTTCAGATGTAAGCTGTCCTCAGGGCAGAAGGAGAAGGGTGAGGAAATGATTCATGCCTTTCTGAGGCACGGGTTATGAACAGATGATGCCTGGGCTGCATTTTGAAAGGAGTATAGTTTATCCAGTCGACTGAGGAAAGGAAGGAAGGGTAACAGGAGAGCAAATGGACAGAAGGGATGACATGTGCCAAGGCGCAGAGGCATAAAGCAGGGGGTTGATTTAGTCTCGAGTGTTGGACTGAGACCTCCCCAAGCTTCTGTGCAAACACGTTCAGAAAAGCTATTGCTTGGGGTGAATCACCTCTGCAGATGGCTTGCCTCATCTTTTGTCTTGATTTTCCAGTTTTAATTCTGAGGATGATGTTTCGAAGAGCCTGTTCTCTAAACACCACAGTTCGAGGCCGCGGCTCTTCCTGGAGAAGGCTGCTTCGCGCCTGCTCCCGGCCCGCTGTGGCCCGGCCCTGCCTTGTGTGTTCAGGAGGAACTCCTTCCTCCCTGAACTCATTCTTCCCTCTGATATTCAGAGCGTTCTCAAGAGTGCCTTGTAAAACCTTCCTGGTTAGTTTTTACCTGCTAGTTTCTAGCTAGTAGTAGGTTCATCAGTTCCCTGCCTTTCTCTTTAAGTCTCCAGCTTAGGGACAATGCTGCATTAATCTACTTTGAGTCCTTTTTTTCCCCGGTTCTCGTAGCTTCCTCATTGGTTAGACTGAATGCACGGGACATGGTGGTGCACACTTGTAATCCTAGCACTTGGGATGCTAAGGTAGGAGGGTCATGAATCAGAGGCTAGCCTGGGCTACATAGTGAGATTCTGTCTCAAAAAATTGAAACTAAAAATCCACCCAAATCAAATCAAAACAACCTTGACTGCACGTGGGAAGTTGCCATCTAGATCTTCTCAGCATAAAGGCTCCATGTTTTCTCAGAAGCTTAGCAAATAATGTTGCTTGGTCCAGGAAATGAATGAAATCATGCTACAAGCCTTAACCAAATCCTCTTTCCCTGGGGCCACTCAGGGGCTAGGAGTCCCACGGATCCCCAAGCCCAGCTTGATTTCACTATTGCTTGGATAGAAGGAGCTGCAACCTCTTTACAGGTGGATTGAGGCTTTTGGCTTTTTTTTTTTTTTTTTAACATGCCTGAAAGGCTGTTCCGGATCCAAGCACCATCTGTAAGTACCTGCTAGTGCTGTTTTCTCTCTTGTTCTTTATGCACACCTCTGCTGTTAGGCATGTGACATGTCATAGATTTTCATTTCCATTTCTTACTCTTCCATCTGGTCTACCTAGCCATCAGCCACTACCACCAGCACCAAAGAATCAGTGGAGGTCTTGTCTTGTGAACGCTGATATTCTTCCTGGAGCCGCTTTACTTGGCTGTGATGAATAAGGTCTGAGTTAGTACACTGGACCTGGCATCAGTCTGGCCACAGAGAAGTACTCATTAATAGATGCTTAGCTCTTTCTAAATTAGGATCCACTGTTCCCTGTGATCCTTCTGCTTCTCTTTACTGCTGCATCCATTGCAAATTAATCAATTCCTGACTCTGAGCTCTAGGTTTGACTCCCTTCCTGGCGTTGTGACCCGAGGTAGTGTCAGAAATGATCCATGTAAACAGTTTTGTGCAGTAGGAACAATTAATAGCTCTTCTTTACATATAAGGAAACAGAGTTTAAGAAAGGTATGTTGCTTCTGACTCAAACTAGAACAAGAAACAATGTGGGCTAATTGACTCTTTTGTTTGTTTGTTTGTTTTTGGTGCCAGGGATAGAACTGGCAAGGCAGGTGGCAGCACCACTGAGCTAAATCCCTGGCCTTTCTTTGTTTGGTTTTATGTAATCCAGGCTGGCCTCCAACTCATGACGATCCTCCTGCCTCAGCCTCCCAAGTGCTGGGATTACAGGTGTGTGCCACTATGCCTGGCTTGATTCCTTTTCTTTCTTTTCTTTCTTTTCTTTTTTTTGTTCTGGGGATCGAACTCGGGACCTTGTGCTTACGAGGCAAGGATGGCTTGATTCCTATTACATCTAGGGTTCATCTTCAGGGTCATATATTGGAGACAGTAATAGGAAGTGGTTAAGAGTGTGGACATGAGGGCCAGGGATTTAGCTCAGTGGTTTCATTGCCTACTGCGCAAGCACAAGGACCGGAGTTTGATCACTGGTACAAAAAAAAAAACAAACCCAAGAGTGTGGACATGAGATTGGTGTGAGGGCATACATTTGTAATCTTAGCACTTTGAGAGGCTGAGGCAAGAGGATTGCAAATTTGAGCCCAGCCTGGGCAATTTAGCAATTTACTAAGACCCTGTCTCAAAAAAAAAAAAAGTAAAAAAATGAAAAAGGCCTGGCACTTGGCATGGTTACTCATGCCTGTCCCAGCTCTTGGCAGGCTGAGGAAGGAGGATCACTACCAGTTTGAGGCCAGCCTGGGCTATGTAGTGACTTTAACGCCTACCTGAACTACAATAGTGAGACCCTGTTTAAGAAAAAACAAAAAAACAACAAAAAACAAACAAACAAAGGCCTGAGTATGTTAAGGCCCTGGGTTCAATCCTCAGTTAAGGGTGGTGAGGAAGTGTGGATTTGGAATTTGGATGGCAGATTGCCTGGATTTACTACTTACTACTTCTGCAGTTTGGGGGGACAAATTCCATAACTTCTCTGAGCTTTACCTTCCTCATCTGAAAAAAGGAAAAATTACTATTCCTTACTGTTATAAGTTTTTATAAGAATTAAATGAGTTGGGCTGGGGATTTAGCTCAGTGGTGCCACCACCTGCCTCACAAGTGCAAGGGCCTGAGTTCGTTCCCTGGTAACAACAACAACAACAACAACAACAAAAATTAAATGAGTTAAGCACTTGCTAAATCTTAGCCGCCACTGCCATCGGCATTGGTACTAAGTTTTCCAGGTAGTCAATGCAAGTTAAAACCGGACCAGAGATGTTAACCAGTGATCACACAGTTCTGTATTTGCATAATGCTCCTGGTGTTCAGAGAACTTTAATATTGATGATCTTGCATGACTCTGTGCCTACAGCACCTGGCTGGTGCAGCCACTTACATCTTCATTTTATAGATTCATTCATCCACACTGTTCATTAAGAACTCTCATGTAAGGGGCTGGGGATGTAGCTCAGTGGTGCTGCGCCTGCCTGGCAAGTGCAAGGTCCTGAGTTCGATCCCTGGTACTAAAAAAAAAAACAAAAAAACCTCTCACCTGGCACGCACTGCAGTGTTCTGAGAATTCAAAGACAGAAACATGATCCTTGCTCCTTCCTTAACAAAAGCCATCCTTGGGAGTAGATTTTTGGGAGACATTTTACTTAGCACTCTTACATTCAGAAATGAAAAACTGGCCACAGGAAGAGTCTGATGGGGAGGCAGGTGTGCAAATAACTACCTATAATGATGTTGTCACTGCTAGGCATAGACATGGGTCAGTGGACAGGGTCGGAGGAAGGTGGGAAGTGGCTTTCAGGCTGAGGCAGATGCGAGAATGGAGCAGAAGCAGGGAGTCAGAAGCAAGCAGGGCAGGAAGCAGGCAGGGGTGCTTGGCGTGAAGAGAAGCAGATGGTGGCCTTCCTTCCGGCTGGCCAGGTGCACAAGCCAGATCCCGACAGAATTCACTGTGCATCGATGGCCAGGCTGTGCCCTGTTGGCGGTAGGTGCCCATGGAGAATATTCTGTTGGGGAGAAGCATATTAGATTTGCATAATTCTGCTGGCAGTGGATGGTGTGTGCTGATACTTCTCTAAAAGTGGAAGGTGGTCAGAGCAACTGCCTCAGTCTTCTGAGCCCAGGGTTAGTGGGTTTTCCATGAAACTCTGCTGACTTCTACATCACTCAGTATATAAAAGGTCCCATATTTACTGTATTCATGGTCTGAATTTAAATTCTCCATTAAGAGAATGAGAAAAGATTTCATATCCTCACTAAGCAACCTAACCTCATCTTGTATTCCTTTTGGGGAACAAAGCTATTCAAAGATATTTTTCTGTTTAATTAATCTCTTCATTTGAATGGAACACAGTTTACAATTTAATAATTTTTTTTTTTGTACCAGGGATCAAACTCAGGACCTTGTTCTTGCCAGGCAGATGCGGTGCCACTGAGCTAAATCCCTGGCCCCGAAATTTACTAATTTTTAAAATGTGCTAGAGCATAATTTCCACTGAGTGACTTGCTCCAGGGCTTATACACTTTATAAATTCATGTAATTTTTCTTCAGTCTAAATTTAATTTTTATTTTGTACATAGAAAGGGGAGGGGTTTTGTGGGGAGAGGGGATGGGATAAATAAAATTTATTAAAAATAAATTTAATTTTTGATACAGTACAGTTCTGTACCCTCCAGTTTCTTTTCTAAGTCTAAAGATGGAAGGGCAGTAGCACAGCTTGCTGTCTCTGCAGGACAGTCACTGCTCTAGGAACGCTGAGCCCTCTCCTTGCCTTCATACTGCAAACCCCATCGAGAATATCAGGCAGTGCCGTGCAGAGCAAGCTGGCCACAAGGAGTCTTCCCCTCCATGTGACAGTGCTTTTGCTTCGAATGGTCCCCCGGCGCCCGTGGTGTCCAGCAGGAGAGAAGGCAAGTGTGATCCTGCACCTCAGGGACTCTCTCTTGGCTCTCCTTTCCTGGAGCCTAATGCCACGAATCTGGCAAAACCCCATGGGTTTCCAAACTCTGCATATCCTCCTGTTTTTGTTTTTGTTTTTGACACAGGGTCTTGCTAAGTAGTTCAGGCTGGCCTTGAACTCACTATGTAGTCAGGTTGGCCTTGAACTCACAGTGATCCTCCTGCCTCAGCCTCCTGAGTGCTGGGATTGCAGGCATGCGCCACCACGCCTGGCTATCCATGTGTTTGGTAGGATCCTGTGCTTCTATCACAGCTTTAGTCTGGGTTTGTTTTAAGGATGGTGTCATCATTCTGACAAAAATCATATCATCAAATGTCTCTTTGCCATCTGCGTCTACTTCTTGCCTGCTAGAACAAGAGGCACTGAACTATTTCTTATTCTCTCTTGGGGTTAAGTTCAAAATAATTTTTAAACTGTGCCCGGCCTTTTATCCATGCATTCATGGGTGGCCTTTCATCCATGTGCTCATTCATTTATTCATTTTTTTGGTGCTCATTTTATGCCACCTACTATCTAATTGCTTAGGACATGGCATGGAGCAAAACAAGTCCTGCTGTCCTGAAGCTTTTGGTCCGGTGACCATGATATCGGGCAGAGGGTTGTTAAAAGGGAAGAGCAGCTTGTTAATCGAGGCTGAGAGGAAGTGAAAGCATCTACAGCTGCCAACAGTGTAATTGATGCATCCTAAGTAAGAAGCTTAAACATATTTTAATGGTTATATATGAGCATGATTGCTATTTTCAATTTAATTAGAGGGAAGGCAATATGCCACCAGTTAACATATTGCAGCAGAGTCCAGGAGGATTGGGCTATTTGTTTAAAAGTGAATTTAATTCCTCAAAAATTTAAAAATAGAATTACCATATGATCCAGAAATTTCTCTTCTGTGTATATATCAAAAAGAATTGAAAGCAGGATCTCAAAGAGCTATTTGGACACCTATATTCACTGCAGCATTATTCACAATTGCCTGGGGAGGAAGCAGCCCAAATGTCCATGGGCAGATGAGTGTGCAAAGCAAATGTGCTATGTACACACAAAAGAATATTATGTGGGCTTAAAAAAGGAAAGCCTGTCACAGGGTACAATATGGATGAAGCTGAGACATTGTGCTGAGTGAAATAAACCAGTTACAAAAAGACAACAATTACTGATGCCACTTGTGTGAAATTATCTCGAGTAGTCAATGTCACGGAAGCAGAACATAAAGTGGTGGCTGTCAGGCAGGGGCTGGGGGAGGGAGAACTACTAGAAAGTTATTTCATGGGTATAGTGTCAGTTTTGCAAGACGAAAAAGATTCAGAGTTTTGTTACACAATGTGTAACACCATTAAACTGCACCGTTTAACTTATTAGGAGAGAAGCGTCTTTTTTTTTTTTTTTACTACGACTCGAAATAAAATTTTATTTATTTATTTATTTATTTATTTATTTATTTATTTTTCAGACCGGGTCTCACCTTGTACCCCAGGCTGGCCTCGAACTCGCGGTGATCCTCCTGCCTCAGCCTCCAGAGTGCTGAGATTACAGGCGGGAGCCACCACGCCCAGCTCGAAAGAAACATTTTTTAAACACCATTAACACGGAAGCAGCTTGGGGTGCGGTAGAGAGTGGTGAAGTGCGGTCGGTGAGAAGATGGAGCTGCAGCCAGGTCCCTCAGCCCAGCTGTGTGACCTCGCGGGTAGAGCGGAGATCGCCAACCCCCGCAGAGTGCAGAGCCGGGGCAGAAGTGCACCTGGGGCGTGGACCCCGGCGCCCACACAGCGGAAGCGTCCCGAGGGAGGCCAGGGTGACGGTTTCTCCTGCCGATCTCTCTCCAGGCAGGTCTCGCGTTTCCAGTCCCTTGCTTCTGTGAACCGAAGACAGACAGGTGAGATAGCTGGACCTCAGCGGGAGACCGTAGGTCGGAGCGGACCGCGCCGGGGCCAGGCGAGCGGGAGGAAGGACCCGCACTCGCGGTGGGGCGGGACCTCGCCGGAGGACTGAGATGCTGGAAGGGAAATGTGATATCGGGAACCTTTCAGCTGCAGGCTCAGGGCACCGGGTGCAGGGCAGTGAGGACTGTAGTTTAAATTTGAGAACGTTCCGGGCGTGGTGGCACACGCCTGAAATCCCACCACTCCGGAGGCTGAGGCAGGGGGATCAACGCGAGTTCGAGGCCCGCCTGAACTACATAGCGAGACCTTGTCTCGAAAAAAAATCATCAGCAGGGCCGGGCATTTAGCTCAGTGGCACCGCACCTGCCTCGTAAGCACAAGGTCCTGGGTTCAATCTCAGGTACCAATAATTTAAAAAATCAATCGATCAATGAATCAATGTGAGAACATGAGAACACCAGTTGGATGTGTATTTTTTTTTTTTTTTTGGTACCGGGGATCGAACTCGGGGCTTGCACTTGCGCAGCAGGCGGCGAAACCACTGAGCTAAATCCCTGACCCTTGGATGTGTATTTTTGACCAAAATAATTCATGGGCCAAAGGCAGTTACAGTAAAATTCCAATGGGTTATTTAGGGGAACTCTACAAAACGATTCAACTAGACAGATCATTATGTGAGAAGAAGAAAAAAATTGTCGGGGCCGGGGATTTAGCTCAGGGGCACTGCGCCGGCCTCGCAAGTGCAGGGTCCTGAGTTCGATCCCTGGTACTGCAAAAATAAGTAAGTAAGTAAATAAATAATAAATGTCAAGTGTGTAATGAAGAAGGACTTTCCTTGTCAATAAATGGGAGTGGGAGAATCGGTTGCATGTTCATTTATTATTATTATTATTATTATATTATTATTATTATTTTGGTGCCAGGGATCAATTCAGTACCTTCCGCTGGCCAGGCAGGCATGGCGCCACTCAGTTTAAGTTTTCAACACACCCCACACACAGATATTAATTCACTGTTGACTAGAATGTAGTGAAAAAACAAAAAATTAGAAGATAATATAGATAAAATATCTCCTCACTGGGTAAGGATTTTTTTTTTAAAGAAAAATAGAATCTCTTGTATAGCACTGGTGGGATTGTAAATTGGTACAGTCATTTAGAAAAGCAACTGTTTTGGTTCCACTTTTAGATACACATGCTAGAGAAACCGCAATACAAAAGATCTTCCCACAATGACCACACCACTGCTCCAAATAGTCCATGCCACATGAAACAGGAGGATAAATTAAGGACAGAGCGTTTCTAAATGGAACGGAGAATAGCAGCGAAAGTAGTGTCACAAGCCTGTAATCCTAGCACTCTGAGAGGCTGAGGCAAGAGATCCTAAGTTCCAGCCCAAACTGGACAACTCAGTGACTTACTGAGACGGTCTCTCAAAATAAAAAATAAAAAAGGGGTGGGGTGTAGCTCAGTGTGAAGGCCCTGTGCTCAATCCCCAAAACAAAACAAGGGCTGGGGATTTAGCTCAGTGGTTTTGCCGCCTGCTTTGCAAGCTCAAGGACTGAAGTTCGATCCCCAGTACCAAAAACAAAACAAAACACACCAAAAATAATACAACAAACAAAACAAAACACACAAAATGTTGAATGAAACACTAAATTACAGAAGGTAACATTTAGGGAAATATGAGTTAAATAACAATCCTAAGAATAAATACAACCCTAAAATATGAAAAAAATACTACATGCTGTATACATGGTAAAAGCAAGACATTGTGAGAATAGAAAGCTCGAGATTCACGATTTCCTCTGGGAAAGGGGAATATGGCAGGAGAAGTTTATACCAGGGAGTTCATTTCTAGAGTTATGTGTTGGGTTATGAATGTTGTTACAGTGGCTCATCCTAAGTCTAAAATGTCTCATGAAATAAAATGTAAGGGTATACATATTCCTTTTATAAATTAAAACAAAATCTAAGTATATAATTTAATCTTTTTTCTTTTGAGACAGGGTCTCACTGCATAGTTCGGGCTTACCTTGAACTCACTATGTAGCCCAGGTTGGCCTTGAACTCATGGCAATCCTCCTGCCTCAGCCTCCTGAGTGCTCTTTACTATTCTCTCTCTCTTTTTTTTTTTTTGGTACCAGAGATCAAACTCAGGACCTTGTACTTGTGAGGCAGGTGGTGGAACCACTGAGCTAAATCCCCAACCTCCAGTTTTATTTTATACATATCTCTATGTATTTCATATATCAGGGTTGTCCTGTAATTCTGTGACTTGCTTTTTCTCACTTAATATGATAGACATTTTTCAATATAATAAGCATCTCCCATATATACAATGGGTACATAGTATCCCCTAGTATGGATGTGTCATACTTTATGTAATTAGAGTTCAACTAATACATACTTAGATTATTTCCAATTTTGTCATTAAAATTCTATAAGGAACATCCCTGGTGAACCTTAGGAGTATATTTCTATGAAAGATATTCAGGAGAAGATTTTTTTTTTTTGGTACTGGGGATCAAAATCGGATCCTTTTGCTTTTGGGGCAGGCAGCAGAACCACTGAGCTAAATCCCTGGCTTACAGGAGGAAGAATTTTTAAAGGAAAGTCTTTCTGAGAATTCATGCTTAGCAACCTCACCCTGAAAAGAATATTCCAATGGAAATGTAGTATACTCTTCTATGTCAAATTAATATAGAAAAGTTCATATAAATAAACCACAGAAGCACTAAAAGTATAATAGGAAAATTAAGCAAAAGGCATCAATAGTTAATTTGCAGAAAAAGAAATGCAAATAAATAGTAAATGCATGAGAAACACTTTCACTATTCTGCCTGGGTAAAGAGATGAGAGTTATAATTAGTTTCAAAGTTTTGGGCTATAAATTTAGAAAAGATGAGAAAGTGAGTTATATGGTTGGTAGTGTGGGAGACTTTTCCAAGGATTTAAAACATCCTTGTCTTTATAGTAATTCTACTATTATAAATTTAATCTAAGGACATAATCAAAGACATTGTAAATAGACAACAATTCGGTGCATTTCAGGGCCATTGTTTCTGTCCCTC